TGAGCGGCCTATACTCCATTGGGGGTAACAGGCGTAAATAAGTAAGTAAGCATGCTACGAATACATATTCTATAGAGGGTGAAGCAATTGAGCGTATTGATTGCTTCACTAATCTTGGGAGACAAACAGACAGATACAACGCAGAACTTCGTACATAAGTACATTAGTTCACGTTACCATACCACATTAACACAGAGACGTAACTGTCAGTTCAAATCCAAGAGTGATAGCAATAATAGAAGTATTAGCAGTAATGGAGAAGATTAGGGAGCGAAGATATGATTCGAAAAGTATAATTCAGTAAGATAAGTTTAGAAGGAGAAAGATAGAGATTATGAGGAATTCCGAAGAACAGAATAAGAGAAAACAAAAAGAGTGGATGCACCTGCACCATCGCAAATGATTCTGAGCCATGTCGATCAAGGTCTCTAACCATCCGTGACTTTCGTCTCTCGGACCCCAACCAGGTAGCCTATATCTACCAACATGACTCAGTCCACTTGTCAGTGACTTCATGGATTTATGCCATGTTTTGGTCTGGCCGCCCCATAACTTTCTTCCAACCTATTCCTACACCACAAAACATAACTCATCAAGGCAGTCAGTGGTTAGGCAGGCATACATAACATAACACATGTCCAAACAACTACCTCAACTGATAAAGTTTCACTACTTCATCTATTGATTTGCCATCCCTCTACCTAGAACTTGTTTCCTAACGAGGACAGCATTGCTTACTCAAGATACACGGGGTACGACACATAAACAAACGCATTACATAATCGCATACCTTGATGTACAACAAATACTATTTCGTCTACTATTCACTATTCCATTCAATGAATCATGATGATTGAATGATGATGATGATGATGGTGATGGTGAATACAATGATTGCATTGTTACTCCACCTCCTCCTCCTCCTCTTCTATAAGTATGATGTAATGAAGGAGAATAAGTTCTATGATTCTTTAATGATAGACAATCACAATGGTTCTTGTTCATGTCATTACTTTCACCAACCATTAACGATTTATTCGTTAAATTGATATTTTCTAAACCATGTTGAATATGTAATAAATTATTAGTATGATCTTGATCGTCAGTTATCTCATTTACATCAACATCAACATCGCCATCGCCATTCTCATTGTCATTGTCATTGTGATTGTGATAATTAGTTGAAGTCATAATGGGACAATGATTTTGTTGTATATATTGATTTATATGCGATTGAAGACTTTCATCTATAGTGGAATCTAAATGTTTTAATACATGATGTAATTGGACATCGATTGAAGCTAATGATACAGCGAGATCATGTGAAATAGATGAATGATTAGTAGTATTGTGTTGGCGTTGATAATGTGGATGTTGATGAGTGGATCGTGGTAAATAGGATGTATTCTGGTGAGCATTTCTCGAATTAACACTACATGTCATCGGTGAACGTGGCATTGACATTGAACGTTTCACGTGTGTCATATCTGAATGATGATAATGTTGACGTGATTGATGATGACGTGGAGAATGATTGTTGGATAAACGAGGCTCAATTGGATGATTAATGGTGGTATCTTGTGGTGGTGGTGCTGGTGGTGGTATAGTGAATTCAATTGTTGTGGAATTTTTCTCTTCATTTGTTACATTAGTCAACATGGATTGATTATGTTTGTCTTGATTACCAATAGAATCATTATTTTTATGAGATGAGACATTTTTTGAAATAGATTGTTCTGTGGTAGTTTGTTCTTGTAATGCCAGTAAACTTGCATCTAAATTTTCTAAACGACGTTTATAAGTTTTATAAAGTAACTAAAAATAAATGAGAATATATAGTGAGTGAGAGAGAGAAAAGCCTTGATAAATTGAACACACAATGAATTTAACATAAATAATAATTAATGACCAAGAAAGTCCTACTCGGTAGCATCAGTCAGTCAGTTAGATGTAACGTAGAACTTTGTACGTATGTACATAAATTCATGTTGCCATACCACAGTAGCACAGAGAGATGGAATTGTCAATTCAAATCCGATAGTAGAAGAGGTAGTAAAGGTATTAGAAGTATTCGGAGAGGACTCAGTAGCATTGCATTACAAGAGTAGTTATTTATAAAATTGAATGGACAAACGGTAAATATTCGTTAGTAAGTATGGAAGTTAAATGTAAAGGAGTTGGAAAACCCTGATTATAAAAAACTATGGTGTACATGGGCTCCACTAACCGGAGAGATAAAACCAAAAGACGAGTGTACTGCGCAACAGTTCACTGGCTGTGAATAGAATAGAAGATATTCACAGGTTACCCGACCGTAGCTGCTACTTTGACGTGGTGGTCGGGCTTGTCTACCGTGATGACCCAACCGAGCCATACTGGCTGGAACATTTGTTCCCGATGGTTCTACCATACCAGGCAGGTCGATTGGAGAACGATGAAACTAAAAGCAGCTAACCAAGGTCTGAGGGCGAAGTTGTACTGCTGACTGCAGAGGGGTGTAACAGAAGTAAGGTGTTTCCCTCGGACAACCAGCATCTGCAGCGATGCTGCCTTCTCACAGGGAAGGAAGGGTTAGAAAAGGTCGACCCTAAAAATGTCACACCTCACCCTACCTCACGGATTTACGTCTCCGTCGGTAAGGGTGCCCACTAAGGGCTTTTAAGTGCGGAGCTAATAATCAAAAAACCCTTCATGAACAGGCCGTGCATGACCGGCCTCAAGCAGTTGTCCCTTGGGCTCTGCGGTCACGCGACCAGGTCTCTAAGACCAACACTAATCTATCTTCCTTTTCAGGTTCCTCAAGAAACAACCTTCGACGGTGTGTGCAGCTGGGAAGTGACAACCGCCCTCATACCCGTAACAGCGCATGAGACCAAATTGGTCAAAATCAAATCCTTCTTACACTACGTAATATCTCTGTCTCTGTATACGACTTTTATGGCAACATGAACTGATGTACATACATACGTACGTACGAAGTTCTATGTTGCTATTGATTGATTAGTTGATTGATTTCATTGAAAGACATAAACATTGGTACATATAGGGAACCTAAATTATTATGCACTGCACAGATAATTCAATTTGTGAGTGGGTTAGATTATATTTCCCGAAAAATATGGTTTTCTTAGGAGGCCACTAACTGGGGCCTAGTCTACAAGGGAAGGGAACTGTGTTAGGAGATACAGTTCCGTGATAGTCAGTGGCATACAATAGATTCGTACGTCATTGTTTCCGTCAGGATCCTGGAGTCTATGTGCACCATTAGTCTACAATGATGGTCTTTTAACACCCCTAGATAGACCCTTCGTACCCACCAACCCTGCTTAAGCCCGGGTCGGACATACGCTGTTCGTCGTAAACACGACTAGCGACACGTTTAGGCAATATGTAGAACTTCTCTGATAAACACCAAACATACTTGACCATATGAGAGCATCTCGAAAAAGAGATAGGACTTAGCCCACCCCAAGCCGTACTAGGGCACTTGGTCAAGCAGTTACAACGTAGAACTCTGCACGCACGTACATTAGTTCAAGTTCCCATAACACATTAGCACAGAGACACAATTGCCAATTCAAATCCCAGAGTAGTAGATGAAGTAGAAGTATTAGCAGTTCAAAGTTATTATTTCAGTAGGATAATTCTGTGACATAACTTTAGAAAGAGAATGATAAGGGCGATGAAGAATCCAGAGGATTAGGATATGAGAGAATACAAAGAATGGATGTACCTGGGCCACTGCAAACGATTTTGAGCCATGTCATTCAAGGTCTCTAACCATCAATTATTATCGTCTCGAGGCCTCCAACCGGGTAGTCTACACTTACCAACATGACTCAAACCAGTTGTCAGTGCCTTCATGGGTTTCTGACATATTTTGGTTTAGCCACCCGTAACTTTCTTCCAACCTACTCCTACACCACGAACATTGGCATATCGAGGCAGTCGATCGTTGCACATACGTAGCACATGTACCAGCCATCTCAACTGATGAAGTTTCATTACTTCATATATTGACCTGCCATCCTTACATAGCACCTGTTTCCTAACAACAGAATTGCTTACTCGGGTGTCCCAGGATACTCGAGCAATGTTTCGGATACATCCCTGGCCGAAAACCAGTATTCTACGAATATCTTCTATTCTCACTGGCGATGTTTCACAGCCATAAAGTAGGACGAAGCGAACTACCATGCAGTACACACGTCGTTTAGTCAACAAACAGATATCTTGCCTTTGCCATAAATGAAGCAAGTTGGCAAAAGCCAATCGAGCTTTCTGTATCCGTGTTGCGACTTTGTCACACACCAGGCCATCGGCACTGATGAGACTCCCAAGTGAAGCGGTCTACATGTTCGACTACTTCACTCCCTATCACTAGTTCAGGTGCCGATGAAACCCAATCTTGAAGCAACATTTTGCATTTCGAGGGGGAAAACCGCATCCTGAACATACTTGCATTGTTGCTTAGGGTAGTCAGAAGACTCTGCATTTTGTCAGCGTCTTCACCAAGTAGGACTATGTCATCGGCATATTCTAAGTCAATAAGCGAGCCACCTGGTAAAAGGTCTACTCCAGAAAATTCAGACGAGGATAAGGTTATTTCTAGGAGCATGTCTATGATAAAGTTAAACAAGAATGGAGAGAGTGAACATCCTTGACGGACACCACTTGAAGTAAAGAATTCCGGTGACAATTCGCCATACGCTCTCACTCGACCAGTGATGTTCGAGTAGAGAGCTTGTATAAGGTTAATGTACTTCTTTAGTACAGCTTTCAATGACAGACACTGCCACAGAACCACACGACGATCCACTGAGTCAAATGCTGCCTTAAGGTCCAGGAAAACAACTATTGTAGGACGCTTAAAAAGAGAATACTGCAACCATCTTTCTTGGGTAGCCGGGAAGTGACAACCGCCCTCATACCCGTAACAGCACGCGAGACCAAATTGGTCAAAATCAAACAATAAAATTAAGAAGGAGAAATCAACTTACTTTAAGACGAAATAATTTACCTTGTACACGTGAACGTTCATCAACTAAATGACTAATACATTCTGATAAATTAATTAAATTTTTATTATTATTATTATTAGATTTCAATTTTATATTACTATTATTATTATTTTGATTAGATGGTGACTGATCTATATTAGTAGTATTAGTAGTAGTAGAAGGAGTAACTTTTTGTTTAATCAACAATGAATTCGTTGTATTCAGAGTGAATTGATGATGATGATGATTATCATTGTTGTTAGTAGTAGAAGTAGGAGGAGGCGGGAGCGGCTGCGGCAGCGACGGCGTCGGCGTCGAAGGATTTCTAATATTTTCACGATGCACAGATGATGCTGATGATGATGATGTTGACGCTGATGACGATAATTTCGAATTCACATCTACAAATGATGCTGCTAAACCTTGATGAACAGGTTTACTTTCTCGATTTGATAAATCAGTTGGAGATACACCAACTTGTGGGCATAAAATCTCTTCATTAAATGTTTTGTCAAATTTTTTATTGTAAGCTTCATGATGATGATGATGATCATCATCATCAGCATCAGCATTGACGATAATGTTTAAAAGATCAGATGATGAGAAACATTTTATTGACTGTTTTGTTTTAATCCTAGGTGAATGATATTTATCAAATGAATCCAATGTAGTAGTGTTATTATTGTTAGTGTCGGTGTTGTTGTATAATAGATTAGAATGTGTCTTTTTTTGTTCATGACTACCATGTGTTAACAATAAAGATTCACGTATTTTAGATTGTAATACAGTAAGATTTTCATCAGCTTGACGTAAATTCTCTTTATATATTTCTGACCAATATTTAAAACCTTCTGATGAGAGATGATTTTTTCGTAAGTTTAATTGAACATAATTATCATTAGGTAAAAATGAATTTTTTTTATGAGATTTATGTTTTGATTTTAATTTGATTTCATGATATTCTGTTGGATCGTCAGTGAATAATGGAGGTAGATGCAGATCAGTGTTTGGCATAGTTGTAACAATTGGTGTTTGACAATGAGATTCATCATTAAGAGTAGTAGTGGTTGACAGTCGATTGTTATTATTATTACTAGTATTATTATTGTGGCTGTTGTTGTTGGCGTTCCTGTGCTTTTCTGCAAGTACTTTAGGCGTATTCATCATATTCAGCTTAGCTATGGGACAAATTATCAAAATGAAATTTAATATGAACATAATGAAAATGGCGACAACAACAGTAAAAACGTAAACACGTCATTTTGATATGCTTCAACTATTATTACGAGTTTACTTTAAGTCGGAAAACGAGAGCGAGGATCGGCGATCTGGAGACACGATATGCTACTCTAATCCGTTTGTCCCTAGTCCCTATTGAGTAGAAGAAGAAGATTTGATATGAAGTAGAACCTGTATTCTACAAACATCCAGAAGGTATGAGGTCCGAGTCCAGAAAAGAATCAGGATCGCAGACTAGGGATCCGTGTACGGCTATGGGTCATAAAACGCTACAGATAATGCGTATTTATACATTTAGGTCGAATATGAAACAGCATCAAAGTCTGTGAGATTGACAGTTAAGTCGACCAATAGGAAACAAAATTTGAGTGACATTAACAATCAGGAAGACCAATAAGAAAGGACATTGGAGTACGTGACATTGATATCTAGGAAGAGCATAAAATTGACCAGTAGGAATTAACCAATCGGAATTGAGCAATAATTCTCTTAGGATATTGGATGAATATCCTAACACCTCCCCTGTGAAGAAATTGAAGTGACACACAACGGTTTATTTGGATCTGGAATATTGTTTGTTGCTGTCGGGGGGGGGGATATTTCTGGAACGGAGGTGACGACCAGTCTTGAGTACTTTTGAGTGGGTTGGCTTCTTCTTTTTATACGCTTGATGAGACATCTGCTAATGTTAGCTGTATGAACCAATTTAACCGAATAATTTTAGATCGGCTGTCGGATTGAGCTGAAGTGAGGTGGACTGGGTGTAGCAGGCGGCACAGGTACTCTGGTCAGTTGACAGATGCACCGCACAACGTCAGATTGACTTGATTCATCATAGTTGTGTCTCGATGCAGCTAGGTACCCATCAACATCTTCATTAGTTCAGCTGCTGCTCGGGTAAAAATTCAAGTCTCGAAGGATCAATGTGATCTCATTCCCGTCGCTAACTGTTACGCATTCACATAAACATGTCATTTTGATATGCTTGAACTATTACGAGTTTACCTTAGTCGGAAAACGAGAGCGAGGATCGAGGATCCGGCGACACAACATGCTACTCTAATCCGAATGTCCCAAGGGTCATATGTTACAGATAATACGTATTTATACATTTAGGTCAAAAAGGAAACAGCGTCGAAATCTGTCGCTCATAATAGTTTAGGCATATCAAAATGACATGTTTACGTTCATGTGTAACAATTAAAAAAGTCAAGTCAACTGAATAAATTTTTTTATAAAACATCTCTTCTGATAAGATTAGTTTACATCTATGATTACTAGTCATTATGGCTTATCGCTCCGTCTTACTTTATGGCTGTGAAACACGGACAGTGAGAGTAGAAGATATTTGTAGGTTACTGGTTTTCGATCACAGATGTCTTCGAAGCATTGCTCATATATCCTGCGACAACCGAGTGAGCAACGCTGTTATTAGGAAACGGGTGCTAGGTAAGAATGGCAGATCAATAGATGAAGTAAGGAAACTTCATCAGTTGAGTTGGTTGGGACATGTGTTGCGTATGCCTAACCACCGACTGCCTCGACGAGCTATGTTTTGTAGTGTAGGAATAGGTTGGAAGAAAGTTAGGAGTGGCCAAACCAAAACATGGCACAAATCCATGAAGTCATTGACAAGTAGACTGAGTCATGTCGCTAGTTGTCGACTACCTGGTCGGGGTCCGCGAGATGATAATAATCGATGGTTAGAGACCCTGAATTACATGGCTCAAAACTGTTTGAGATGGCGCCGGTGCATTTATTCTTTGTGTTCTCTCAAATCCTAATCTTCTGGGTTCTTCAACACGTCTAGTTTTGACTTTCTACACTTTTCTCACTGAATCATATTTCTTGAATATCTTCTAATCCTAACCTCTCCGAGTACTTCTAATACTTTAACTACCTCTACTACTATTGGATTTGAATTGACAATTACATCTCTGTGCTAATGTGGGATGGCGACATGAACTGATGTACTTAGTTACGAAGTTCTACGTTGCAACTGACTGATTGACTGACATTATGGCTTATTCAAGCAAATATAAGATTATAATCTCTAGACTTAATCTGGACACTGGAGTTTCGTCAGAAAATCAATTTGTTCTTCTTTTTACTATCATCAAAGTATTTTTTGTGAACTGCTTTCATGAACGTGATTTACAAGAGCGCAACTTAATTATGAATCCATAGATTATTATGTACAAAGGACTGGATTGTAGAAAACCTTAGAAACAGAAGCTGCTAATTGCGTTGTACCGTACTTACAAATTGAGGGAATTAGAGCCAATGATACTCCTTGGATCCTTGAACTTATATGGATGAAATAAAATTTACAATTTGAAACAAAATGATCGGAATTCAGTACTTTTAAACAACCTCACATTTATCGTGTAATCATTTACGATCATGAAGTCCTACAATACATACTTTCACATTTATAAGCCTACAGTAAGTAACTAATGGCGAAATAATTTATCTTTCAGTTAATTGAGGTCATGCATATTTATAGTTGCGAGGAAGAATCCATTTATTAGCCAAACATAAATGTAAACTTGAAACAACTTGTGAAAACTTAGACGGTTGGAAGTGGTAAGCAGAAGAATTAGTTGAACCTACATTTCGTGATGATTGAGATTCTTCAGTAGGTGTATGTCATTATTCAATGCGGAAACTACTCTCTGTAGAACTTGGATCCGTGCTACCTAGTTTCACAAAGTCTGTGACATAACTGATGAACTACTCACACACACAGTAATTAGTCTGAAGAACTTACATCATCGTCATCATCAGCATCATCAACAGCAACGTAAAACTTTGCACGTCAGTACATCAGTTCAACTTGCTATATCACATAAGCACAGAGATATAATTTTCAATTCAAACCCCATAGTAGTAGAGGTAGTAAAAGTATTAGCAGTAATCGGAGAGATTAGGGTTTGAAGATGTTATTCAAGAAGTATAATTCAGTGAGGTACATTTAGAAAGAGAAAGATAGAGGTGATGAGGAATTCAGAAGGTTAGAATTTCATAGAACACAGAATAAACGCACCTGCGCCATTGCAAATGGTTTTGAACCATGCTACTCAGAGTCTCTAACCATTGATTATTATCATCTCGCGGACCCCAACCAC